CACTTTATAACAGGGTTAAAATCCTGAGTGTTTAATAAAGATTCCTAGGTGTTGATGAATTTTCTTTAACTTCATGGTTTGTGATTGCATTATGACTGCATATTGCAGATAATTTTTATGTGTTTTCAGTGAGCATTCGCTCAGCAGTGACTCCGTGCCTATCAGCTCTGAGGGTCTGGGCTGCTCTGATTTCTCCTCCCCCGTAAGCACTGATGAGCCGGTCCGGAGACCACTCGTGTCCACCTTAATGGGCTCAACCAACAGTAAGTAACAGCTGTAACACAGAAATGAATGTACACATTTAGTGTACATCATCTAGTAACCTGCCGCATACACACACTATTTATCTCTTCCTGAACATGTTTGTGTCTCCGATTTTAAAAACACACCCTTATCAGATTAAAAAGCACCCACACCTCGAACCACAAATGCAGTGAAAAGCAGAAATGGTTGTGTAAACACTCTGTTAACTAAAAACAAACAGAAACTGATATAAATGTCATTTTGGTGTGCTAGGTATTTATATTAGTGCAATAAAAGTGCATTAGAGCATTTTTTTTGTTTCTGTATCTTTAAGTGATTGTAGAGCCCAGTCTGTGTGAGGGAATGTCTTTTCCTCCACCTGCGGTTGGTTTAGAGAGGTCAGGTGTCCGCCGTGAAGATGACATCCTGTTTCAGTGGCGACTAAGGAGGAAGATGGAACAGGCCAGACAATGGAGTCAGGAGGCCCCTTCCCACAATTCTGTTCTCCATATACCTCTATCACCAAACCAGGTGAACCAACACCACAGTGCATATCAGGATATTTCTTTTTGATTAATTTAGAATTTATAATATAATCTAATACAATATAATTTGTAAAAGTTTGTGATCGCTAAGAGTTTTAAAATGTTTTTGAAAGAATTTATGCTTATCAAGGCTGCATGTATTTGATAAAAAAATCTGTAAAAGCAGCAATATTATAAAATACTATTGTAATCTAAAACAACTATTTACTATTTTAATATATATTAAAATATAATTAATTCCTGTGATGCAAAGCTGGACTTTCAGCATCATTACTCCAGTCTTCAGTGTCACATGATCCTTC